TGTCGCAGAGGACAGTACGACTTTACCCCCAGACCGCCTCGTAGCACGATTACTCGTAGTACGGGGTCTGGCTGCTCCCCTTTGGCCTTTCTGGCATGGTTTCAACTTGTGGAACGGAGTTCCAGCCAGTGTAGCCCACGGGATCATTGCAGCACTGAAGTCCGACCACCACGTCAAGGTGGCAGCTTTAGGTGGCACAGTCAAGACTTGTACGCAACGAATGAGACTTAAATAGAAGCGCGGGACTCTTCCCAGTAACGGAATGAACGGCGTTCCTGTATTGCATTAGAAAATTATCAATCCCGCGGTCCAGTTCCACAAAAGTAGTGGGATAGAGTGAAATAATGGCAGACTTTAGTGTTCGGACAAAATTCTCAGCAAGTCCAAACGACTGGGGATGTCGCGGAGCAGTGAATAGAGCAATGAATAGTGTATCAGTCATGTTCATCACACTCCATCGACATCATAAATTTGGAGAGCAAGGTTTAGAATATTGCCGTCCACAATTCGAAGTAAAACGGAATCACCTAAGCTACGGAGGAATTCGCTCGGCAAGTCCTTCCAAAGACGATGAGTATGCCAAAACCATTTAGTACTACTCCCCTGTTTGCATATAATGCGCTTAAAGGTGGCACTTTTGTCCCTCTCAAGGTTTCGGTCGATCTATTCACCACCAGACGCGGGTACTCCATCCATGCGGAGTAGTCGGCCATTAGAATGCCTATTCCTTGACTGCTGTCCGCGTCCAGCCACATTGGTAGTTTACCCCCTGCGATAAGCTCACGACTTATTCCCTAATTTGGCACGTAGTTCACTTTAGCCTGGTTGACACTGTATCACATTTTGGGTTAATTTAACTCTTTGCACCCTGTCTGCTTCTGGGTCCGCGTATTCCAATGAACCGCCCCCTAATGCTGAGCTCTATGTAAATTAGGAAACTAATGCTGTCGATTAACATATTGCATTTTTGCTGGTTTAATTTTGCGACTTTGTAAGTCGTCGTGAACACTTTGATTTTCTCCTGACGAAAATGAATTGGCATTTTGTATGAATGTTTGAGGAAGAGACAAGTAGTTCAGTGGATTTTGCTTCATTTAGATTGCCACCGATGTACTAGTATCTGTGATTCCTGCCAGCCAAGTCTAAGATATCTGCTAATAAAAAAGATGTGCAACTCTCTATCATTTAGCTTTCTACCCGAATTTGATGAGAAATTTTTTTATAAGATTACGGACTACAAGTACCTTGTACGGGCCCTCCTACTTCCTGAACCGTTAGAGTACTTAGAGTAGATTTGATGGGATTCAAAAAGAAATCAATATACTTGACACACTGGGAAGTATGTGGGGCTGCCATTAACTTTCACAAAGGTGAGGTAGAGAACACGCCAGTTTCCGTCCGAAACATCATAAACTGCGGAAGTAATTGATTACTTATCACCACGTACGGCTTTTCACTGACTATGGCTTCTAGTTTTCTCCAATACTTTCTAGCACATGGTCGAACGATCTTGGCTTCAGTTAACGAGTGGGAAACAAAACGTATCTTGTGATAGATAAATGGCAGGTGCTCAGTATTCGCACAATGGAACTGAATTTTCGAAAGTTATGACGTGTCCCTGATGGACTAAAGCAATCGGGCATTCAAATTGAGTGTACCAGTCTAAAATTATAAGCCTCATTTAGGCATCCCGGGGTCTCAGCGATGCCGGGCAATTATCACACAAGACTTTTCAACCAGATGCATGGTTGCTTCAGTGAACAATGAACTTTGGTGAGCCGCAAATCATGAAAGTAGATTAGGGTAATTTTCGGCTTGAGCATATACACAACATTTTGGCATAGGAGGTTTCAACCCACACATAAAGGTTGTGCAGCC